GACAGGTCCTTGCGTGCACCGTTGTGATGATCTCGCCTTCCCTGCCTCTGTGGCACCTGGGACATCTTTTTCCAAGAATTCTTCAACTCCCAAGGCGCGTCTCGTCGCGTAGACGAATTTGTTCGATGGAATCTCTCGAGCTCGGTCGGTGGGAGCCGCTCTCAGGAACGCGTGCCCCCCTTGCCCTTGCGAGCTTCTCGTTCGTGCGTATGCCATGTTCCCGGCCTCTTGACCTCCGTAGGGGTTGTGCCGCGTGGGTGGTACCGCCTCCTGGGGGAAGTGCTCCAGAGACTCCATGAAGTTTCAAGTTGTATCTTGTTAATCGCCTTGCCCAGTTTGCGCTGGGCTTTCCTCGGCGGGGTAGATTCCCCATCGTGTGCTGCCAGTTCTGAAACGGTGGGCTGACGCCTTCAAGTTTCTCCTGCCGGTTCTAAGGCCCACTCAACCCATGACGGGGGAAGGGTCCCCTTCAGAATCTCCACCGATACTCCATGCTCCTGGTTGAGTTCTTTGATAGCGTCCCCCATCCGCTCCACCAACACGGTTCCCGGTATCCGAACTCTCACCGACTCTCCCAATGGACCCCGTAACGCGGCTATAACCGCAGGAAGGGTGCCGACTAGGTTGCCCAGAGAAGCTGAGAACCTTCGCATAACGGCTGCTGGTAATCCTAGTCCTCCGGCTCCTGTCGACAGGCGCGCCTGGGCTTGTTGATAGGGCTTTAACTTGAAGCGGTCAGGCTGGCAGTCGTCTTGGAAGAACTCTTCTTCGACTTCGGTGTCTCTGAGCCCCATCGTTGCCTCTAGGACCCACATCACCATATTGTCCAGGCGTTTACAAGCCCCTTTCACTAGCTTATGATTGATGCCTCTCTCGATATATCCGGATCGCTGTGTTAGCGATTGGGATGTGACGAGGTGAGCCACCTGTTTGTCTGGCATGCGCACCAGCATGCGAGCAAGCTTGTCTGCACCCCCTTCAGTTATCACTTTCATTGCGATATCCTCGACGTAGGCATCCGTCCCAATGGGGACTCCGACAATTGTGATGCCCTCCTCCGCAATCGGTAGGCCTGCATCGCCAAGCAGCCTCCTTNGTCCGGTATCACCTGGATATTTTCCGCTGTGATATTTTTGAAGTGCAGGCTGATGTCGTCCATATAAGCTTTCAAGCATACCCCGAGGTGGTCGTACTTGGCTCTAAGCTTCAAGACGATCGGGACTAGGATGAAGCAGAACAGGGGCGGTCCCATTCCATCTCCTTGCTGCACACCGCTCTTGCACTCGATCGTCCGACGCTCTCCGGAGTCCATCGTGTATATCGCCTTTGCCGGGATTTCGTCGTAACACCTGGCGATGTACCCCACGAGATCCGGGACGTTCTTTGCGGCCTGGGCCATTATGGCGGTGCGCTTGCCCGTGTTGAAGGCATTTGAGCAATCCGTCTGGACTACCCAATGACCTGTCTGATGAACCAGTTGTGCGTCCATCGCAACTTGTTCAACTCCTCCAGCTACCGCCACTCCGAATTGGTCCGCTTCCCGAAATATTTCTTCCAGTTTCGGTTTCCACTCCCTGACCGTTCCCGCTGCAATCAGCCTTCTCCAAGTCATTCCAATGCACACTGGACGGCACTTTTCACCGAGGGCGATTAGACTGGATTGTTTCCAAAGAGTCCAGAACTCCGGTGGGAACGCGTTGGGATCGTTGATGAGCCTCCTCCAAAGGGACGACATCGCGTTGCTGAACTCTTCCCGACCAATTTTAGTGTTGACGATGGACGTAAGGTGGGAGAAACGTTGCCCGTCATTGTCTGCTCCAGAGTTAGAGCTTCTTCTGTTGATGACTTGAAGGAATACTTGTGGATCGAACTCGGTTTCTGGCCTCCATCTCGGGGCGCTTCCTTCCTCCTCCTCGGTGCGGCTTGCAGTTATGGCTTCGGCGATGGCCTGCTCCACTTGTACGGGATCCTCATGCGGAAATTTGGCTTTCAGACGTGCCCATGTCTCGTCGTTCCCCGGTGACGGTTGATCGGCTAGGGGCGCACTTGCTGCGTCCTTCACGCCTCCAGAGTGCCGGCATGCCTGCGCCGCCCTTTTGAACTTGTCGTCGGGTGTGTCTTCCCGTGCCGGTCCCCTGCTCCTTGCACTCGCCGCCTTGGTATACTCAATCAGCCAAGGAAGAACGGACGATATATCCCCTCTAAAGCGTTTTTTTCGAGCTATCCGACCATCAAAAGGAGTGCAGAATACCTGGTAGGAGGTACCAAAGTTCGATGACCCGGATAGTGGAAAGTGGGGTCCCTGTCGCCGAGGAAGCGCCGCCGCCTTCTGCTAGCTGCGTGTTAACTAGGTGGAGCACGTGGGTTTGGAGACAGGCATGGTCGGAAGCAAACCTAGATTAAACTTTGTTCACCGTTTGGAACCTGAGTGTGAGATCATCCATGCTGATATTGTCCAAAGCAGGCCCTATTCCCAGACTGTCTTGGTTCCAGATGTACAGCGAACGTGCTCCGTGGGGTTCGTCGTTTAACCCCCTTATCAGTCTTTCAGCTCGTAGCTGCAGCACCGGGTTAGCTTGTACCGCCACCTCCAGGCTGTCCTTCCGAGAGTGTTGGGCCCCGCACCCGTGCACCCTACACTCAAGCAGCGCGCGTTCTCCGCGTCCCTCCAAGCTAGATAGTACGCATCTTGCGTGGATGGGATGCCCGCAAGTGAGTTGCACCACACGGTGTCCCTCGATGACCTGACCCGAGCACACTCCGCATCTGGTACTGGAACGAGGGTGCTCGCTTCCGTTCCCCGTGGCGCCAGGTTCCATGCTTCCTCCAGCGTCCCCGTTCCTGGTCGCTCGGTCATCGGCACCCGGAGTACCCGTTCCTCCCGAGCCCCTTCCCCGGTGTGTTCGTGCCGGATGTGATGGCGTTCCCCTTTCTCGCGACTCACCGTCTGGATCCGGTTCACTTCCCTGCCGGCGTCGCATGTTTCCGCCTTGAGGTGGTTCCGAGGAAGTCCGTTGACGTTCACCCGATGTAGTAGCGTCATCCGATAATCCGCTACCCTCGCGAGCAGATGGTCTGCGCCGCCTTGGCGTTCCTAGTGATTGGCTTCTTTCCCCGGGTCTTACTTGAGGGCTCGTCCGACTGGTGGCGTGTGCTGTTGTGGATGGGTTTCTCGGGGACAACAATCCTTCTTCCTCCTCTGGGCCGCTTCCCATGTCAAAGCCCGGGTCGATGCCAACTCCCGTCACCCTTCGTGGGGCCACGACAGTCGGGGTCACTGTGTTTCTGCTAGTTTCGCCTCCTTGGTGGGGTGGGACATGGTGTTCATCCCAGTCGTCGTGGCGCCGAGCCACCCCCCCTACCCACGGGAATGGCGGCAGAGGTTGGCCAGGGTTGTGTAGGGCGTTCTGTATTGCTACGGTGTAGAATGTGAGATGCGACTCGCACTCCTGGTCCAGGTGCACCAGGTATTCCTGTACGTGTGGCGCAATGTAGCTTCTGCCCCGGGGGAGCCGCAATAGCACCTGATACGGCCGTATTCCATGGGCGTAAAATGTAGAGCGGTATCTCTGGACCAACCGGTCCCACCCGTTGTCCTCGTTGCGGCCCCGAGGGAAGTATATGTAAACGCTTCTGTCCATCCCGAATACGTCGCAGAACAGAGTGACCAGGAGCCAGGAAGCCGTCTCACTTCTCCCGTGGGCCCGCACCACACTCTCGAAGGAGTCGAAATGCCCCGCCGGGTCCGCGCCGGATTCGGACATAGACCATGTCTCGAAGTGTCCCTCTCTCGGATGCGAAAGACACTGCCTCCCTCAGGAAGCCCCACCGTCCCCCGGCGTGCGGCAGTTCGTCGTTCTGGACAAGTTCCGCGGGATGTGGAGGTCGTCGTCCGTTCGATCCTTCCTGCGAGCAGTTGGCACATGGTCGTGGATCCACGCGTCCGTGTGCTATCTGGTCGGCTCTGTCCCACAGGCAGTTGGCGTGCACCGACCCGTGGTGTCCACACGGGATCTGGATAGGCTCGAGTCCCTCGGCGTGTGGTGGTGGCTCAAAGTGGCCTTCACAGTACGAACACGATCCGGTGCTACCGCCTCCGTTCGCGCCGGTGAGTTGGGGCCGTGTGTCGGGGACGGAACGTCGCGTTTCACCTGCTCGATCAAGCTCGCGCAATCTCTCACGAGCTGCTACAACCCTATTCTGCAAGGCTTCCCGCTCTCCATCAGCGAGACTCCATGCCGGGATCGTGATGGCTACTATCTCCAGGAGGCGGGGCCAAAAGACGTCGCGCCTCGAATCGTGCATGGCTGGATTCGGGCACGCCACCATCCTAGAGCTGTCCGACGGCGCGGTAGAGAGCAGGTGGTTCTCCACGAAGGTCATCGCGCACGTAAGATGTACCCTGCATGAGCACGGCGCGGTGACAAGCGGGCGTTGCCAAGCCCCGTTCTGATGGCATACGACGCAGACCCCGTCCGTCGCCCCTCGCGGAGAAGGCGTTGTNCGACAAGCGGGCGTTGCCGAGCCCCGTTCTGATGGCATACGACGCAGACCCCGTCCGTCGCCCCTCGCGGAGAAGGCGTTGTAGTCGGAGCAGGTGGTGACGGGCCGGGCGAAGGAGGAGGAGAAAGTGTGTAGACGTATGTGGACGGGGCCGGCGATTCTGTGGGTTGTCTCCTCGTTCCGACGCGAACCGGCATGCGCGGCCCGAAGTCTCGCAGCTGGCCCCTGATTGTTTCGATCCGCGCGCCTAACGCCCGCTGATCCGCTTCGTTTTCGTAAAAGTTGAATCTGGCGTGCTCCGGTAGAACGACCGTTGCTTGGAAGCCGTGATCCTGTCTTGTACGCTGGTGCGGGCACGAAATAATGTCGTGTCCGCTCGCCAGGGCGTCGTGCAGTTGATCTTCTACGAGTCCCACCGCGCATCGAGTGTGGTAGTGACATCCACAGGGCGGAGACATGGCAGCCCCTTGACCTATTGATTCGTGACAAACTCCGCAGAGATGGCGAGGCGCGTGCGTTTGACTCGCCTCCCGTGCGGTCGAGCGAGCCACGTCCCTCTCCGATCTCGCTGCTCGAAAAGCATCAGAAACTACGTCGTTCCCGTGCTGCTGTTCCAAGCTGGTACTTGTCTCTGAGATGGTGGACCCTATACGGCACATGGGACAATGGAGGGTTATCGCCCACTTCCCGCACGCATGCCCTCGCATAGCAGCCCACACACATCGCATGACCGCAGCTAACGAGGTTCATATACGGTTCGCTGACATCCCCTAAACAGAAGCCACACATCAGTGGTTCAGTAGGCGCTGCTGCCGTTTCCGCGGTGGGCGAAGAAGTCGTGTGTTCCGGCGAGGCCGGCGCTGTAGTTGGAGACGTGTCCCGAGGCTGGGCGACTGCCCGTGGCTCCGGCGAATGCGACGAACACTGTTCCCGCCGGGGGGGACGCTCCTCTGACTG